TCTATCCGACTATCGTAATCTTGAAAAAGAGCTGGGCTGTGGTTCAAAGGGGGTCTAGCCAGGGGTTGAAAGCAGCTGTATCTAAAGCTACAAACGCTCGAAACTCCGACTGTGTTCTAATTACAGCCAAAAGTATGGTTTAACGAAGTTAATAGCCCAACAGTTTCGGCCATTTGAATTGAATAAAAGCGAAAGGTGAAAAACTGAAATGATAATCTTAAGTCTTGCCTACCTTTATGCTGGCACGACAAGAGGACAGCAAATTACTTTAAAACATCTTGAAGGCTACTTCTTCACAGTTGCTAGCGCTTGGTGAAACATCGACATGGAATAATTGACGAACAAAAATATTTTTGATTATTGTGATCTAGCAATAACCTCACCCGACACAATTTCATGGACTCCAAACAACCAATCAGACAAGACGATCGGGGGACCGGACTGCGATTAAGCAACTGCAACCATTGTCGCTCAATCGGTTGCATTTCGTTCGCACAAGCAGTACTCCTGCTTGAACAATGGACAAGAGCTAGAATTGGAAATTGGTCAGAATTAAAAATTCTTGGGTTAGATTGAAGAGCTGTACTTGACTTTGGACGTTATAACTTTACCCTATTCAAACGAGGAGAAGTTAGGAACAAGGAAAACTTCACTAAAGACAGCTTATTCACCTGACCTACAACTTTCAAGTGTACTTTACCAGATTGTCCCTCATAACTTTATCGTGGGAAAAGAAAAACACACACACACACACACATCCAGGCCCCGTGATAGCAATTGCTTGGATAACAACAAATAACTTTTCACTAAGTTTGATAATCCACTTTTTTTGTACCCATTCCTTTGATATGTCGATTATTGCGAAACCGCAATATCTTGGCATTTTTGAAAGAAATTACTTTAAAAGAGACAAGTTAAAGTGTAATTACGGTCAAATTCTCGTTCTGATGGTTTATTACTGACAAAAGATCTCAACAACCAATGCATGAGAGAAAAGAGACTTCTCTTACCTTCGTGACAGTCGAATCATCGCCACAGAGGTGTCAAGACCATGGACAATACCGTCTTTATCGAGGGATGTAGAGACCTTCAGAGGAACGAGACCCAGACGCGCGAGCCACTGGGGTCCAAAGACGCGAGCTGGCGGATTAAACCGGAGGTAAGAGATGGTGCGTGGAGCGACGCGTTTCAATGCGTAGTGTATTCCAATACCCAAACCGGAACCCACATCCAGCACACAGTGTCCTGGTCTACAAGAAGGGAGGAAAGAGGTTTTGTTTATGTACACTTGCTGCGAGTTTATGAGATACAAAAAACCCGCACGGCTTAATAGAGACAGACAAGTGCAATGCTTAACGTCTATGCAAACAATACTACAACCATAGCTGTAGACAGGAGACTGGTTTGAAACATCGTCCTTCACGTTCGAAAAGCTTCAAAACAAATGATATCAGCTTGGCCCAAGACGCTAATGAAAGATACCCTTCATTGAGGTTTTGCCGCATTGGTAATCTTCCCCTATGGACACGTTGATCAACTGTCATTCTGCTGCCTATTTCACGAATAAAAACTAACCTTTTATATCAAAATCAAACCCTGTGTGTTTGATGATACTTAATAATGGCCTTTTACTTATCATTGGAGCGTCGGGTCATACAATTCAACTCCAAATCAACCGTGAAAGATGATGCGACTGAAGAGGGATTTACACAATTATACGGCTTACCGATATGCATATATGCCTACTGTGCGTGGTGAAGACACATGGCTCTACCACTTAAGTAATTTTCATAATATTGTAAGAAAAAAGAACAAAGGATGCGCAGTGGTTCGTTAATAACAAGCTTCATATTTCGCACCAGATCTATGCAGTTTACTCGACGGGAGAAGGTGTGCAAAAAAAGTGCGAATAATTTACCTACTTGAGATCGCACTTTTCCACTGCATACCGGTTTAGTGGACGATTGAGGAGACGGAAGACGAAGAATTTGAGGAGGACCGAGGGCAAACCCAGATCAGGACACTTGAGACCCCTTGCAAATGCGGCTGAAATAGTGCGTGACATGTTGGTGGACTAGTTGAAAAGAGAGGCGAAAAGGAAGGAGAGGGGAATTAGACACTGGCATTCAAGGTCATACAAGGTGAACCCTGATAGGTTGGCTAACCAATGTATATCGCTGTCCCAATTTCAGACAAGTGAAAAAAATTACAAGAGTAGTAATAAGGGGGCTTTGAGAGCACTTTCGTGCATTTTATTACGTGTTGCAGTAGAATACATCTCTCTTGAAGTATCCACAAGAAGTTAAAGAGTAAGTATGAAATAGCTACGACTAACAAGCGGGTAGGTAGGAGGTCAAAATATATGCGGGTGTATGGTGGCTGCTAAAACTGGTGCCTTCTAGTCTTTTAAATAGCAACCATCTAGACAGAGTGTGGATTACAGAACTGCGCTGAAAGCCATCTTTGAGAGTTGACAAGAGACAGTTCAGTGCTTGAAATAAATGGAAGTGGGGATCTAACCGGGACTTGGACTACCACGATTGACAGGTTATTGAACCTTTTTGTGGTACACAACTCCATTCACATTTTACTTATCCTACAAAAAACATCTAATTTCTCTGCTTTTCAACGTTAACCAAACCTCATCGTAATTGATGCCGCTACCGGAGCAACCCAAACCTCGTGTAGGTAGCTAGTTCCCGGAATCGCAATAGTTCGCTAAAAAGGAACTTCTTAAATCTATGACCCAGATTATGTGGGCCACACTTGAAGCTTGACGTGATAAATGTAAGTTAGTGTCGATTGCATGCACATGGTACAACTTTCAGATTTGTGGCTCAACCAGAAGGTAATGCTAATTCACATGGAAAACTACACAACAGAGGGACTAAAGTGCATCAAAGCACGAGCCGTAGACACTGCGCCCCATCACAATTTTCACGAAATTCCAAACAGCCTGTTGTTGTTCGTAGCATGATTGGCAAACATTACCGCTTTGACGCCTAATAGTTATTCATTGCCGACGCAACACAAGTACCCTCTATTTACATCGAAAGCCTAAATGCTTGTCTAGATCATTCACGAAGGCTAGTAGTCACGGAGAACGGGAAAGAGGTGAAACAAAGAACACAATTATTAAGAAACAGTTAAATATTGTCAAGACACTAAAACAAGCACGCGTAAATGAGCGCAGGCATATGGCTTCAGGAGACAAAAAAAGAAGTGGACAGTTGGGCAACAAACAATATTTATTTTGCAAAGCGGTTTCGAGGAACGCCATTATCGTCGTCATCGGCGCAATACCTCACCAGCTTTAACGAGTTGCTTAAGCGTGGAGGAAATTGAACGTCCAATGAGAAGTGCGATGAGGACAAAGGGTGAAGGGAAGGAGAAAGTTTCAACCGCAAAGCAATTTGTGAGGGTAGTATAAGGATTTGGTTTGGCCCACAAATCAGGCCAATTCAACACACGGTGTTTTGGAAAACTCAGGTTTCACCTAAAAGAGACGAACAAAGTGCACTGTTTTCGTTGAGTATATTAAAATTTCTTAAACTTAGCAGTGTGTGCTTTAAAAAAGGATACTGCAAAATTCACTAGGCACCATTATAAAATCGTGAGTTTACCTACAGAAGGGAGATTAGTGATTAGGAATTACCTTAAAAGCGCATCCGAAAGCGGGGAAAATCCATTCAGACTTCTCAAGGAGACGATCACGGCTTTTGCGCCAAATTGAGAGGCCGGAATTCGCATCGCCACGGAAATCGGTAGGAAAGTAGCTGCCATGGAAGACGCCAGTTCGAGCAGCGTCCTCCTCGTCAGCAAAAATCGATCCGGTTATGGCAATCGATACAGGAGTTTTAGGTACTTCGTCCCCGAGGGAATCATGGGGAGTGATAATACCCTTTACAAAGACAGTCACCTGCTGGTCCATCAACCCAGGGGTGCCAATAACAGAGAGCTAAAATCGATAAAATGCACAAGATGAAACCAAAGTATAAAAGAAAAGGATAGAACATTGACAACGCACATTCTCATCAAATTCGAAAGGCACGGAATCATCCATGAAGTCGTGCTGAATGAAAACATTTCCAGGTTTTTGGATGTCGTGACCGACAATGATCATCTCAGCTTTGGAGAACAAACTGAGACAGCCAACATGTGTGGCTCTTCCGTCAGTGCAGACAACATATTTAACATGTGAGGGATCAGCTACTCCGTGGTTTTTGAGAGCTTCGACCAACGCTGGTCCATCCCATGGTGAGCCCGGATTTATCACCATGTTTCCACACGGACCTCGTACTAGAACGGTGTTACATTGCCGCCTAACATATCCTTCCTCGGCGTTTTCCTCAAAACCTTCACGAAGTAGAGTCACCTCATACGTGTCCAACGACATCAGTTTTTTTTGAAGCAGAGAAATTTTTCCAGAACGTTGTCGAAACGATGGGCTAGATCGTTTCCTAGCTAATGCTTAATTCAGCCAATCCGATTCCAGCATGTAACCACACCTAGGGCTAAGATCGCATGTTTATTCTTCATAAAAACTTCATATAAGTCAGGCCAAAATAATCAGCTTAATATCTGATCGAAAAAGGTGCGTTCAATGAAGCAAATTTAACGAAATTATCACTGTGCTTACATAGACTGAAATAACGTTTTGTTAAGCATTCGGGAAAAAAGAGAAAATTTCGATTGACGAAAAATAAACACACTGTCACAGGTAAATTCCGGGAGGCTTTAGTGGATTGGGGTCAAGATCGCAGGGATTGATGGGAAATTGTGCAATGACTGGGCAAAGAGCATACCACATAAACTGTCGTGTTTTCATACATAGTACAAAGGAGCATAGCTATTATTAAGTAGAGTGAGCATCCCATCACAACAATTTTTGACTTAACTGTTTAAATTTAACAAGGTTTTGAGTAATCAAAGCTTTATTATCCCTTAATTTTGAAGCTTTTAAGGGGAAAAGGATCAGCTCTTTAATTAAATGATTGCAAAAGAATGCAAAAAAAATGGTGTGAGGAATTTTTATGTCGTCGAATAGTCCAGTTACCCCTGAAGCGGATGTGTTATCCTGGATAACTAAATTTCTTTGAATTTTTTCATTTATAGTCACGCATAATTATCCCATTCACTTCGAAGCGCTAGAACTGATGCAAGCAAAGGACCATTGCAGTCAACTACGAAGGTTGCAGCAGAACATGCTTGTCATATTTATTTCTTCGACATCCTCCTGAAACGTTCTACCTCGAGCATGAGGCGCCACCCTGTTTTTACAAAGAATGGAGAAGCTAGGGGTTTTCTGATATTTAAGCAATGCGAATTGCATGTCTTCGCTTATTATATTTTACTATAGTTCTTTTTGCTCAGAAATTCACAGTGACCTTCTAATAAATATGCAAATGGTAAAATTGCTAATGATGACTTTGACGTACTTTTAAATATGCTAATTTTGATCCCAGGCTGCCAGTAATGCGTACGTACGATAGTAATATTCGGTATACGGTTTCCCATGCCTAATCCAGCAGTTCGTGGACTTAACTCGCTTCCACTGAAGGATATTACGGTGGAAGTAAATATAAACAACTATTTCGTGGATGTATCCTCCAAATACAGTTACGAAAACAGCTCCGATGAGCTACTGGAGTCCTCTTTCGTTTTTCCAATCGAATCTGGTGGTGTTGTCTATGAATTTGAGGTTGTAGTTGGCAATGAGAGATTCCTTAGTACTTGCCGTGAGAGAAGTGAGGTATAAGTGTTTTTATTTACTTAACATCCAACACATTCTAGGCTCAATTTATTTACGAGGAAGCAAGTGAAAGAAACCGAACTGTTTTTATTCTGCTTGAAGATGAAGAAATGACTGATGTATTTTCAATGAAAATAGGCAACATTCCACCAAAAGAGAAAGTCTTTGTGAGAATATCATATTTTCAAAAGTTGACAACGGTCAACAGTCTTGTTGGTCTCAAAAAGGAAGATGAAATAATCGCTATATTTTCTTTGCCGGTTCTTATAAACTTGAGATACTCACCAAAAAGTGTGTATTGCACGAATTTAACGAGCATTTAGGTCATACCAATAAGCGAATATTCGGACAGCCACTTCAACCAAAATGGTCCTCTTTGATACCTTATACTTTTCACTTTTCTGCTGCTGTTTCATCCTCGTCTGTCATTAAATCTATAACATCTGCGAATCAGCAACTATCCATTGAGTATCTTGATGAGCATAAGTCCTCAGCAAACGTAGTCTTTAGACTTTCTATTCACTACTATTTTTAGATTGCTCTGTTAAGTCATTTCGACTTTACAGAGGACTTCCAAATGGAAATCGCCTACGATAATGTTAGTACTTTTTCAGCAGTGGAATGCAGCTCAGACGAAAATGGTTTCTTCTCATCTGACTGTGTTCTCGTTAATTTTTTACCACATTTCTTAACCCCCTACCAAACAAATGTTGAAATAATTTTCGTAATCGATCGTTCAGGTGGGTCATTTGCTCTATTCACGCATTTATCAATTTCTAATTAGGAAGCATGGACGGAGACCCCATCCAGCAAGCTGCCCAGTCTCTTTTACTCTTCCTCAAATCCCTTCCAGTCGGATGTCGTTTCCAAATTGTTGGCTTTGGCTCCACCTACAAAATGCTGTTTTCTGAGTGAGTCTTCTCATTTTGCCTTCATTTTCTATCGTCATGTCTTTTGAAGGCCTCAGGACAACACAGAAGAGAATGTCTCCAAAGCGCTTGAGTATCAACGCAACCTTGGAGCAGACATGGGTGGTACTGAGGTTCTCCCTGTCCTTACGGCGGTCTATGCCTCGAAGATGGTTGGATCTGCCGATCGGTGGCGTCGGGAAGTCATTTTTCTAACAGATGGTGGAGTTGTCAATCACGCTGAGGTCAGTTAAGATCAAAACAATTCATAATCTATTAACCATTGATGGTACACTCTCGATAAATGTTTCCAGGAATAAGTTTATTCAAACTTCATTTACTCTTAGTACTATGATTGTGCACTTTTTGCAATATTTTCTGACAAAATTTAGGTGTCGTCGCTCAGCTTCATTGTTTTTTTCGTCTTCACTCTACTTTTTAATGGTTGAGTGGGCTCGCTTCCTTTCATTAACCGGGTGTTCTTAGCAGGCATTTTTCTCTAAAATGACACATTTCCCTGTCTAATTTACTTTTAAAACGGCTAGGTCCTCTTCGTTCATAATCTCTTACCTATCACCAACGGCGTCCTCGGTAAACAAATCTACGTTGTCTACCACAGCTTATATTAAATGTTATAAAAGTGGTTCAGATTAATGAATGAGTGAATTTATTTTCTTATTCAGTAAAATTAACTTCCTTCTTTTAGTTAAGAATCTGGGCATTGGTAGATGCTGTTAAGTATATTTTTTAAGTCCTCACTTCACCAAGACAACTTCTTTATTCAGAGTTAGATGTTTCCTAACTTACCACTCGTACTTTTAATTCTGACCATGATCTTGTTATGACTGGATGTTTTAGAAATATCTAAGGATACGAGTGTTTTTGTCTGGATTATGTGGCCTTTAGACTAATCTTGCCGGTGTGGAGTATGCTTAGTGAGAGGTTGTTTTTTAAGGCTGCCTTTATGCTATCATTTGAAATGTAATAAACTTGTTGCAGTTTTTAAAATTATTACTTCTGACTGACTAAATCATTGCTAAAGAAACTGGTGTACTAATGTGTCAAAACAATGAAGTATTAGTTATTCTTTACACAACATCTGCTCCCACGCTATTAGTTCCCTGCCTTCTATTTCCTACTGATTGTTCAAGTACGTCTTCTTATAGACGTTGATAGTCAACACTCATCCATCCATTCATCCATTTTTTTCCGTTTACTTCCTCACTACTGCTCTCAAGTAATGTTAAATGATTGGCCATTAATATCAAGTTGATATACAGGCAGGTGTCGGTACGGAATCCACTGAACCAGGTCCTGGAGTTCATCCAACACGTCTGTGGATGCGCATCTTATTGCATCCAGGATTACTTTGGAGACGTTTCTTTGAAGCATCGTTGAAACTGATTACCTTTTTTACACTGGTTAGCAGGCGCCATTCGTATGCAATCATGGTAGGCTAGAGGCATTCCCAAACACATCACAATCCATTCAACTATGGAGGTGGAGGGGAGCTGAAGGACTAGTTCCATGCATGGAGCGCTCATAGCTCCACGCCGTCTGTGGAGTTGTTAAATTACAGGGGTCTAGATAGGCTCTCGCATTCTAAGTTGTTATTAAGCCTTGCTACTTACTGTGGCTTGATAGCTTAAAAATCCCCTCGTAGCGCTTAAACGTGACTCTCCGAAACGATTACCTACATCAAATCCTATGTTTCAGTAAATCTTGTTTGTGTAATTCGAATTCCACTGAGAAATGTTAGAGGTGCAAGTAAACCACATTTTAGCTGAACCACTTTTCCTGTAACAATTGAATAAATGGGCTACACGAAAGTACAGGCACCATTTTTATCGGTAATAAAAGGAGATGAGATATTACCTCCCATCTGTACTTGGAACTGCGAGTCGAAGCAACTGTGCATCGAGGGGAATTATAAAAAGTGCTAAAAAATCGTACGGAAATGAAGGCGTTTTGTACTTTCAGATCTATAAAAATGTCAGTGGTTGAGGAACTCGGTAGTCACCGAATTCATTCTGAATTAGTCAACAGGTATCATGCGTCCTATTTAACCTCATTTCCGATACCTTTCATAAAAAAATATGTGTATTTGGGAGCCGGATGGATAAAATGCATCCCGCATCATCAGAAAAATCAAGATGAACTCCATCCAAGATTTTCAACTGTCATTTAGGACGAGGTAACGCTGAGAGTCAAAATTCCTTCAGCCCCAGATGTGTGTCCGAAACCTTGATGATTGCGTAGGTTTATTCGCATGAGCCGAGGGAGCAAATATCAAATGAGTCTTTAGAAATAAAGTTAGACGAATTGAACCCTTGTATGATTCTTTACGGCTTGAGCTAGGGTAGTTTCGGTCTCAAAACCGACACGGAGACTTCATGTATTGTCTCCCAGAATGCGTTCTGATTCAAGATCCATCAAAAGTGGAACAGTGAGTCAGGAGATCGCTTCAAAATTGACTGAATGAATGCAAATCGACTATCTCATCTTGCGATTTTAGGACTGTTTTTTGGATATTTCATCACGGTTGCATAATCAAGAGTCGGGTAAGCGAAAGAAAGCTGTAGATGAGTCTCGAGAGGTGACGCCGAGGCTAAAATTTCTCATTTTTCCCTACAGATAATCGCTCTTGTTCGAGAAAACGCAGGCACCTCGCGTCTCTCCGCCATCGGTTTAGGTCAGGGTGCGAGCACTGCCTTGGTTTCTGGCATTGCCAGAGCGGGCAATGGAAGAGCGCTTTTCGTGCGAGATGAGTAAGGCCTCCTCCCTCCTTTCCTCTGCCTCCCTTTTTGCTCTTTTTAAACCATCCTCTCGCTCACAGGATTCGCTAAAGGCGGGTGATTCGCTGGTAGGGCAATCTGAAGCAAAAAACGCAAAAACTTCATTTTGTTCGTTTGGCCCTGTGTTGGAGTTAAGCGCAACTATTGAATCCTTCCTCATTTGCTCCCACTTCTTTTACATAAGTAAAGGCGACCCAATAAAGACGTGGCCATGATAAGCAGTTTGCAGGTCAAGCAAGTCAAGCATGAAGGAAGCTGCAAGGTGAATGGTAACTCCTCACATCCGGTCATATCCTATGGCTACTTATACCTACCAAGCTGGTACCCTTCCAAATTGGTTACATTGGTGTACGAAACGTATGTGTGAAGGAATTACCGATTCCTCTGCGATTTGATGGTTAATGATAACTATGCCACAGTTATCTCGAAACGTCAGGACTCAGACACGTTACCGTACTTGCATGATCCACGAGATGAGCATCGTGTTTGACAATACTGTCCAAAATAAACTCGCCATTAGTTAACCGCGACCTTATTGTTTCATTTTGAGCTAATAGCTGGCTTATGAATACCAAACCACCACTACTTTGCTAATTTATAGTTTACGACCTCAAAACATGTATTTTGTGCATGCTTACTTAGGAGAAACCTACGGGATGCTATCTTGGATGTCCTAAACTGTTGCCTTCAGCCCTGGCTAACCGACGTGACAGTCGATTGGCGTCTGACTCGCTCCGCTGTGCCCGTTACTTCTATCCTTCATGTGCCCTCCAAAGTGCCGCCCGTGTTTGCGCACACCTTCAGCACCGTTGCCGCGCTAGTTCCACCTGGAAACGGTATTTCTTGCCATCTGTTGCATCTGAGATATATCTCTGAAGGTATTGTAACCCATGGGGGTCTGAAAGTGGCTTTGCCATTAACGCATAGAATGGTTGGGAGCCGATTTGCACGTGCAAGGAACAGGGAAGCCCCATGTGATCAAGTATAGAAATAATATGATGCAGAATCCCCTCATTCTATTGCATGTGTTGTCTTGACTCTCTTCGTGGTCACTCTTCCCCTTTGGCAGTCGCAAACCTCCTCGGATGCATTAAAACTAACCGTCAGAATGAAATGAACATTCGTGACGGCGCATCTTGTGGTGTTAAATGACATTCCGAAATACCACACTTAGTTGTTAAGCAAACTGCGTTCTAGTGGTTCATTTGAATTTCAGCATTTTATTCGCTGAAATAGTCACTGTTACAATCGGCCACCCTTGCCTAACGTGATGCAAGACTATCGTGAATTTGCCCTTTAACCAACAGTTCCGACAAGTTACAAGAAGTAATTGCAGTGAGCTACACACCAAGCCGCACAGACTTTCTTAGTCACCTAACGTTTTACAGTCGGTTTGGATGCATTCCATTTCTGGGTCATGTACCAATTTTGGATTGGCTGGCTGCAACGTCAGTAACAGTTGCGAAGCGATCGTTACACTCGCAGCAGCGAATCTATTTTAAATACTTCGCTCATCACTATATTGGTCTGTTGGTAAAGAAATAGATTTTCCGTACCAATTTTATGAATATATAATATTCTCGGGACCCAATCCAAAGCCAAATGTACATCAATCAACCTGTCGATGTCTCCTTGATGATCTGACATTGGTTGTGGGACTTTCTTGTAGGTGAAATTCGGGACTGAAGAGGATTTGATTTTATCGCTCCCATCCTCCCAATTGGAATTCTTTGCTACCACTCATAGATGCAAACAGATACGTAGTTATCCGTGGCCAATCTGTCCTGTTGCACACTAACATCCGCCCTTGTATGTACGTGGGCCAGCCCGGGCGCAACTAATTAAGATGACAAGCAATTGTGATAGTGAGCTTTTGCATGAGACCAAGTTGCTTGTCAGTGAATGCATAAAATCTGGATCTTGGGCTGCCCACTTGTAGTGGAGATTTCAAGTACAAGTTTTTACGGTGGTGGACCACGTCTAAATGATGCAAACCATCAAAGAACGTTTCAGCTTCCATATGTCAGCGACGGTTGTGATCGTAATGGTTCTCCGTCTACTACCTATCATGAAATTGTACAACAGGCGAGTCTTTCGACGCATGCGGAGTAGACTGTCCAGTTGCTAGCCAAACGTCGGGATAAGTTTTTGTTCCCTTTATAAATCCAATAGTTGGGTTCTAAAGTGAAAGCACCTTGCAGAGGAAGATTGTCATCATTCAAGACATGTCTAAGTATTACTAACCGAAGTCTATGATTTCCTTTTCCAGCTCCTCTTGAGGGTGAAGTTACCCTATCCTTCAAAGTGGCGGGCAAACCCATGACCTTGACAGCTGCGATTCCTCCATCATTGTCTGCGGTGGCGATAGGATTCACTTCCTCTCAGCGCCTGCTGCATCGTTACGCGGCAAGTCTTCAGCTCACCGAACTCATCGATCGATACGGCGGCTCGGGGAGCGACGAGGATCGAGCCAGCGTGGTGAACTTGTCCCTGGCGGCAGGCATTATCTCTCCCTTCACAGCATTTGTTGGTCTGCGACCGAAGCAGCTGCAAAACCGGGGCAAAATTAGCGTCAAGATCCCTTTGGGCGTGCGAAAACACATGTCGGTGGACTGCCTGGATGGAGTGGCACTGTACCCTTCCCAAGGTGCGTTCTAGTTTCCCTAAAACTGAGGCCGATTTGACAAATTGAGTTGCAATGAGTAGACTAGACCAGCACACTGCGTAACTCTCGTTTCAATTTATCACGTTCTCTGCCCGGGTTACATGTGTGATGTCTGGATCTTATCACCTGATTTCAGCGTCACAAATATGAGACATCTGATCCTATCAGTTTTGGGTGATTGGGTTTGTTAAATCATGTTAAAATTCTAATAATTGATGTAGGATGTTCACTTAAATTTGTTCTTCTATGACACCAGTTATAAATAATTTTGCACTACTGTACAAAAACTAAAACCAATAGAAAGCCCAGATTGTGGTGGTCGATTTCCCTCTGAGATTGACCTTGGTAGAAAAAAAGCGCTAAGCGCTGTCATAGTGGCAGGCAGGCAGATTGAAACCCTAGGCAAGGCTGCGTGGGACTCACTTCCATCAGTGGCAATGCATCTAACAAACCCTGACAGAGTTTGTTTTCCATTACCTTCAAATGGGCAGAGTAAACTACTTTCACAGTCACCCCACAAGCTGCATGCTAAAAGAATTGACAGATAACGCTTCCTTTGAAGTAAATCTGACGCAAGTGAATAAAATAAATATGAAGGGGTTTGAAGTACTTCCATTAAACTCCTATTCGTCCTTTAAAGTCATCTGAGCCCCTAATACTGCTTCGCTTCTTATCGGTGCTTCTCACCAGATTTTACGATGTTAGACAAAGGTATTGCAGAGGCCATGACCATTTAACAATGGAGCTAAACTTGAGTGGGGGCATTATCTTGGCATCAAATCTTCGAGCTCACATGCCAAAATCCGGCTTCGTTGCCAAACATTGTTTTGCCCAGCAAAGTGAAGCAGAAGAATTGTTGTTTGACGGAATCACGAGTTGTACGGTGTATATGCACGATTATGCCGTGTTTTAGTCCTCCCTCCTGTATTACCTCTTTTAAGTATTTCTGCTCTTCCTCTACATCGTGATAATATTCCCCGTATTCAACGATTCCTTCAAACAGAGCTGAGCACCGTGGCACCAGCAAGAAGACCGAATTGCAGCGGAATGAAAGGATCCGAACGTGACGTATCTGTATATCTCTTCCTGTTGCATGCGCTTTCCTCGATGGTCTCCGTATTCTATTTTCCGCTCCGGCTGTTGCAATAGCATTTGGATGAATCAAAGGGCAGGAAAGACTATGCCAAGGTGACTTTTGGATCCACCAATGGCAGTTCATTTGTTATGTCTTTCTTTAGCCCACAGCAAGGAGGAGAGTGATCCGGAGAGTGTTGCCTGGACGATGCTTCAAGGCAAATTAAGTGCTTATAGGTGATTTTACCCATCCTGATCCTGTTCCTCCTCTTAACCCTACTTCTCGCCATCTAAGTGCACAAATTCTTTCACTCCTGAATATCCCCTTTTGATAACCGCAGATCTTGAAGATTCCTCTGTTTAAAATCTTCACAGATTCAGGTATCTATACCAGATATATTCCTTCTACGGGGTTATTCCCACTCCATTCAGACGCATGTCTTCCTTGAAGCATCGGGAAATGCAGCTATATTTACCGAGGGGAGCCTATTCCACACCGCTCCCGACAGTGTTATGGCTGAGTTTTTGGTGGTGGGAATCTGAAAGTGGCTTTGTTACACAGAAATAGACTGGAACACCCAACAGCTATCCCTATCTCCCCTTCATCTTATTCTACTGCATCAGCATTAATCGTCCATGCCTTGTATTTCGCGCATACAGTATGTTAACATGGAGGGGAGTTTTTATCACCTTTTCAATCCTGATGCCTTAAAGTCACTTGGCAGTGCCATAATTCTACAAAAGGTCAACTAGACAGCTGCGACCCTAGGCAGTTTTTTGATGGCAATTTAAGGTTCAAGCGATCAAAGTCCAATGCCTGAGAAAAATGATCGCTAATGGGACGAAAAGAAATAAACACTTTAGTGACAAATGGATTCCTGTATTTGCACAGTAGTACAAATTGAATAGGCACAGAAAGCTTCTGAATGCACTTTTCTCCCTAAGGTAATCACTGTCACAGTCAACCGTACTTTCCCAACGATCAATCGCTAGAAGCCGAGAGAAAACCTACCTACAACCGGCCCATTTCCTTGTCTATCCCTAGTGCCAAGAAAAGTTGGTAATCTTTGCATGCATAATTGTGAAGAGGATATTGAGGACGAGGATGAGGCTGTGTTTACCTCTATCCCCTCCCAAAGTACACTTGTCCTCACGTGTCAGACAAGTTGTCCTGTAACAATAAAAATTTTTCCACTGATTAACCAGTCCTGGTTGTTGCTGTAGAAAGCATTTATATTGCGCAGATTTAACTTGTGTCGTGTTGCGTTGAGTCGTTCGGCCATGGCTGTAGTTTGGCCTTCAGTGCGGGAATGATTGTGTCCGTACAACGTCATCATTCATGTCAGGCTCCAGCAGCGCCATTTGATGCCTATCCTTTTTTTCCGGTTAAGTATGCGACTAACAAGGTAGCAATCACTAAATCATCTGAAGATGAACTGCATTTATTGAAGCCTCATTTTGGTCCAAAGATCCTAGCCCGCCAAATCACTCATCCCACTTTTACTCGCAGACAGAAGCCTCAGTCTACGACCCTGCTTTGACACAGTCCTCGAAGAACCTGAAGACGACATCATTCTCGGCATTGCTGAACTCCAGCTCTTCTCCGGGGCCTGGACTTGGACCCACAAGCTCGCTAAGGCCCTCTCTCTACCCTCTGCAAAAAAGGACTGTATTCCAACTCGGGGTGAGGCACCGTCACTCTATCTCACAAACACTCCCCATCCATATCCTTCTTTCCACCCATTCCCATCTTTTAGCCGCCGGCCTCCACGAAGACATTTGGACAACAGCGCTGGTTTTGGCATTTCTACGCCTGAAAGCGATCAAACGGCAGACTGAATGGCAACTGATGGCAAAGAAGGCGCGTGATTGGCTCGATAAGGTCATGGATGAGGAGGCAGCCAATCAAGTGATTGAAGCTGCATGTCAAACTATCGCCGGGACAACCTAAACTAACTAATGAATCGAATTCGCTTGCTTTCTCAAATTCTTTTCGTCCCAAAATAAGCGAAAGCGCCAGCTTATTAAAACATTAAAGCGGTCTATTTATTTACAATGGATTTGAAAAAGGAGAAATCTATTCGCTGCTGCTACCGTCTGAAGAGTATGCGATACCGAGGGGGTTGCCTCCCGAGGGTTCAGGCGAGTTACGCACCTTTTTCGACTCTTCTACGGCTTTCGGTATTGTTGATGCTGGAAGTGGGCGCTTTCTGATGGCATTTCGGATGAGATCACGAGGGTTGGTTGAAGAGGGACCTGGTATCTACAAACAAAGAAGGTGTCCCTTTAAACCCAATGATTTTGGTTCCTAACATTCCTTTAAGGTTTTTCAGAAGGCTTCTTTAAAAACTTTTAGAACGTATTGCAATAATTAAACGGTCAAGGATAGTGGTAGATTATATTTACCGACACCAAAGAAAGGGAGTGATCCAATTAACTATAAATCCCGATTTTTACAAAAGACTACGTGGTCGTGAATGAGGGGGTCTTAACACAAAAAGATAAATACAAATTAAAGAAGCTGTACTAGGATAGGGGGCCATAAAATTTGGAATTTCTTAGGTAGTATGGGAGCCGTTCGAACGGTGGTGTGATGCAGAGTGCAAAGCAATTTAATGCACGTACCATCTCAGCATAGGGGGCAAATAAAGTACATGGTTTTTGAAATACTATATAGGGTAAATGAACATGTTTAGTGAACATCAACTTTGTATTAAAATTAGAACCAGTTGTGGAATCCCTTCACTTAACAGCTAGTAAATAAAATCTCAAACAGCAGGTACTATTTAATGCAAATAAATCAAGAAATATCCTTGAAATAATATGCAACAAAAGAACCAAAACGGGATCAGTAGATCAACCAGCCTTAAAAATTGTTAGTAATTAAGCAAATAAGCGGTGATTAAATGAAAAATGTGGACAGTAAAGGGGAGCAAGCGATTTCACTCACCTGTTGTCCAGACAGTTTCTTTTTTGAGACCGTCTCCGAAGATGAAGTGGCTTCATTGTGCTCCCCATCTCGAGCAGTTGGCCCTTGTATGCCGTCATCGGGATCAAACTTCTCAGCTATTTCAGAAAGCGGAATTCCCTTATTTTTGGCCTCCATAACCTCTCTAATCGTATAGATTAATCATGGGCAAGACATTTGATCTCACTTTATGAAATCCTCATCAGCTTTTTCTTGAGCAGCCTTTTCTGCTTCCTGTTCTTGCCATAATTTCCGCAAGAGAAAGTTGTCCGTTTCCATGGTGGCTTGACGTTTGTTTATTTCCTTCAGATCATCAATTGCCTCCGCAGTCTCCATTTCGTATTTGCTTTGGTTGGTCCGCTTTTCTAAGAGTTTCATTGGATTATTTGCCAACTCTTCCTCCTCCTGAGCAGCTCTCTTGGCTTCCAGCTCTTCTGCAGTTTTAAGAGCCTCAAAATTACGTTTTGCACCACTTTCTATGACGTAGTCATTTGATTCTAAGTCAGTCTAAAGAATCAGATTCAAGATTATAAACGTACTCTCCATATAATTTCAGCACAACATCCGGGACAACGGATATAGAATCTGTAATGACGAAGACCTAGATAGTCGACACCCTCGGCGGTTTCCATCCGCGAGTTGAACTTCTTCGCCTTATAGATATAACCATTACATGTCAAGCAGCGCATATTAAATGGTGCCATAGTTCTTATGTTAAATTGGCGACTTTTGCTCCCACGTTTGAGCCGAGGGATTTTCGATGGATCGTAATCAGGGGGGAAGTATTTCTGAAACAATTAAAATAATAATCGAAACCTACATTAAGAACCTTCCGTTCAGTCATCCTGCGCTTTTCTAATTATGCGGCAAAGCAAAAAATAGCTATAACAAATCAATTGCATCCAAGACGCAAAAGACTCTCTTGGAATACAATGCTTATAAACCCGTAGTAAAAAATCCGTTAAGAAGTTGTATGTAAATGCAAGCATCTGCTTAAATTTTGGTGTAGCAAGGTGGGCGCTGCATATATCAATCAATACTCACTTTTACTCTTTCCTTTTTTTCATTCTTAAAGCAATACAATGCATTGGCTGTTTGTTTAGCAGTCGGTTGTGGTAAAGGGTCACTTCGTCCTAATCAATGTGCCTCGCCGGTTGGGCCGGCCTCTGTCACCCAAGTAATACTAATACCTTCTGTACTTCGAGCATGTGTATTCCACCTAGATGTTTTGTGTCATTTTGTCTTTAAGGATGCCCCGAAGCGCTACAGCAATGTCACAAATATTAGTCAGTAAGGCCTCTCACGAATTATGACCAATTTTATAAGGGCTCTTGCCTAACATTTTCCTTTATGCACATAAGCCTTATAATCGAACTTTTTTATTTAAAACTTAGAACAGTGATATATTTTAATCCAAATTCAACACATAAATGTAGAAACACATTTGAATTGCTGCACGAAGTTCTTAGTACAACAGTAGGTAATTTTTGGTCTTTTGACGGGCTGATCGCATGTTTTAAGGTGTTTTGGCTTGATTTGTGAAGAAAATAGTTTTAAATTTAACATGTCATTATCTTCGTATAAACACTTTTTTGTTGTACACAGCCTTAAGGTCATCGGGTAACAGTGAAAATTCAAATTAGCATGCAGTCGAATAGACCTAGAGCAAAGTATATACTCTCTAGCCAACCCTGTGTTGTTCAGCCACACTTTAGGTTTTGGAGAGATAGCATTCAGTAACTCACATTCCTTAATCCAAGGGTTAGTAATTACCACCAAAGATATGGAAAAATAATGGAAGAAACCCGTCCAATTCGGAGTTTCCCAATAGGCAGAAATAAGATATTACCACTGAAATGCAGAGAGAGTAAAGTGACGAATTACAGGGACTCATTCAGTCGTCTTTTTGAGGTTTGATATGCTTAAAGTTGAGATAGTTGCCCCCATATTATTTTTTGGGGATTTCTTGTGGATTCTCATGACTGATTGGCCTTTTATTCAAGTCGTTATAATAAACGCCTTTCATTTTTCTATTATTGATCCATTTTAAATTTTAATTCTTCCCTTGAATCCAAAGAGGCTGCTTATACGCCGTTGTCATTTAAACTGGGTGCATCTTGTCTACTTAAAAGGAAATAAATATTCCTCAGGCTGATTTGGTTTGTTTGCCTTAGGATCTATTTGTATGCGACATTAGAAATGGTTACAATTAAGATGGCTTTTGACTTCCACACTTTGCTATTTTTTACCAAACCATTTGAATTTTATATTTATGTTAATTGCTTTAATGTAGAAGCGCCTGGTTACACCTCCACCAATTAAAGGTCGAAATCACACAGAAGCTCAAACTGAGCTTTACCTTGAAGAGCTCAGTGAAGTTATTGAAACAGATACCATCTGCTGCCAGACCGATGACTTTTTGGACAGGCCTCCAACACCCCTCTTTGTGCCCGCGAAAACTGGGGTCGATGTCGCCACAGAGATTCCTTCTGGCGATGTGAGTTTAACAACGTATACATGGGTAATTTTCATTTAAGCAGTCCAGCACACCCCAGTCTGAATAATGGTTACTTAATATTCGCCAGTAAGTGCTTTTATTTTACTAAGCTGTTCGACTTCGATTTGGAAGTGAAGCCAATTCTGGAAGTTTTGGTGGGCAAGTTGATGGAGCAGGCTCTTCTGGAGGTCTGTGAAGAAGAGGAGTTAGCTGAAATTCGGAAACAACAGTTGGAGTTTGAGGAAATTCGTGATGCCGATCTCATGGAGATGCAGCGCCTGGCCGAGCGGGAAAGACGACACCGGTAAACAAAAGCGATGCTATCTAATGAAATTTGTTTTCATGCATCACATCTCTGCTGCTTTTACGACGGCTGCTAAAGTTTTTATCGGCGTATGCTTGAATGACTTTTAATTCTTTTCTGTTTCCTTAACAATGGTAATGACTTAGTGCGGCTAGATAGTTGCAAAATTTAATCTTGCCCATTTTTTTTACTAGCTGGTACTGCTTTCCTCTGCTTTTGATTTTAAACTATTATTTGATCCTAATCTTTCGTATGGTTTGCGGCACAGTGCGCTGCAATGTACTCTCACCTCGTAAGATGCCGGTTAATTCTCTTAAACGCAGTCCTACTTTAACTGCTTTAGAAGTCCAACGTACATCGGTTTTAAGGCTACTGGACTTTATCGTGCAACTTTTTCCATAGCGGTAGTAGAAGATACCCCCAGAAGAGAACGTGGATAATCCTCAGAAGCTCGGCAATGGCTTACAGGCGGAGGAGCATCTCAACGACTAGTCTGATAAAAGCTTATATTTTGATTCGATTTCTGTAGCAGCCAATGAATTAGATGCCAAGTAGAATAAAAATGGACATACTCCATATTTCCATTTTCAAATTTTCACTAGAGAACAATCCTGTCCTTCATAAAATCCAGATTTTCTTAATAGAGACCAACTTTTCTATCTACCAAAGCCCGGCTATAACATTTCGTCTTCCATCACTTTATCTATTGACATCTGGATGATATTTTGAGACGCAGGAGTCCATAAACAAACTTGTTACAATTATCTCGGTAACTTGAACTGAAAGTATTTTATTTGTGAATCCACAAACGAAAAGCTGGCTGGTCGAGTCATCGTGATCAGAGCGCCCGCGAAAATAGGGCAATAGTAAACTTCTTTTAAAAGCTTATTAGATGTAATATCGCTTCTTTGACTGTAAAGGAACATAAAGATAAAATCTTACATCTGTCTAGTAGTGGAAAGGTGGATGCCTAAGTTTCCAACTCACTTTGTTTAAATTTGTTTTTGATAAAGGTACTGTTATCTTGCTACCTGTCTGGGCTCATTTTACCACTTCTGATAATTAATTAATAATTTTATGTTCGTAATGTAGTTCTTGAACCCAATCGCTCCTTGATTAGTCGTTTAAATTACATCGCCAAATTTCTTTGCGTCCGCCTACTGATAGGTGTAAGTAGTATTAAACAGCTCAAAACCTTAGAAATGGAGTTTTCGTACTAGGTACCACTAATTTTTTTCCTAAAGAACAAGTTTTTGAGCTAATACAGTTAATTTGAGATGGCGAAGTAGTTCAATCCATGTTAACTATGAAGATTTAATTTCGAGACACACACATCTTACAGCAGAACTCCTCGAATCCTCGGTCATCCATCCAATTGCTTCAATCTGCACACTTTAGCTGATTAATGTACATTCCATTACTTCTACAGTGATGTTATGGCATCTATTTCATCCGTGGGAGAGCTGGACAACTGACATCAGTGCCACCAGCGGGTAGATTGAACTGCAAAATGCTGAAAGAGCTCTGCAGTTCAGCACACATCTACATGAACTAATCTGGCAATAATTATTACTGTTCTCCATCCAGGGAGGAGAAAGAACGCAGAATAGCACAGCATCTGGAGTACCAGGCCAAGCAGAAGGAGTTAGTGGAAAAGATTGCCGCTAGGACCTTCGCTCGAGTTTACTTAGAACCACTGGTGCCAAACGTGTATGAGGATCTCTACATCCAGGGCTACTTCTATGATGTCGTTGAGCATGGTAAGTTGGCCCCAGCTTTTGGAAAAGCACAGATGAGCGTCCTACTCCGGTCCTCTAGTCCGCCTATTTTAGGTGTGGCAGAGACATTTATACCCTGGTTGCTGGATGCGGTTTGTGAAGAACTGGATGTTGAGGCGAAATGTCGAGCACTTTTGGATTCCATGATTTGCGAGGTGAGACTGCTAGAATTAAAGCCCGATTCAAACTGTCTGGTGTGTTTTCGACTAGGCAACAAACGAGGTAAACGAAGCCTACGCCCGCTTGGATGCCTGCGAGTTAGAAGAGGGCGTGGTGGGGGAAGAAAAGGAGGGGGACAAGGTGAACGAACTGGAATCAAACGAAGAAATGAAAAGTAAAGGATTCCACGGAAGTGAAAATAAAGGTGAAGGTAGCAAACCTGAAAACGAAGACGCGCGGAATCAGTCAATTGAACCATGAACGGGTAGGTGAGCTGCAAATTTGCCTTTTTTCGAGGTTCCCTTTCTGCATGGCTTAACTGAACACCACGTGATCCCTATATGAATGTGGCGTCTGCCTTACCGCTTTGTAGGGTTGCAAACGGACTGAAAGAACATTTTGGAACGAAGCTGACTTATTTATGATGTTAATACCATGAATTGTTATAATTTAATAAATCAGTAGTACCTTTTTTGGATTTTAAAGTCCTGAAAAAATACGAATATGATGCCAGCGCTATGATGCCTCAGTTACCTGGAGGATGAACTTGGTACCCTTTTTTCTGCTTTTGTTTAAATGTTACTTGTTATAAACTGGAGTTGATAAGGGCGAGGTTGGGGTGGCTCGAGCCCCCAACTGGAATGAGCAACCAAGACACAAGACCTCGGAACTGATGCCCTTATTTGCCGACGGGTATGAGTAACCATGGCGGTACGGCGCGCGTGCTGACTGGCTGACAGCGCCGGGGCCACGGTGGTGGTTTGCGGCCTCGGACATAGTATTTGATCGACCTTTGTCCTGCTGGCAAGCATTAGCGCCCTTAAAGGCCGTCTGTGCACCACGCCCGCTTTTAGCCAATTAGGAGGGAGTGTGCAGGAGTGCGACATTCCAGAAGGTTCGGGAATAAGGCATTAAAGCTAAGAGAACCTCTGAGGAAATGGAAAAAGCTACGTTTTCTTAGGTTGCACACTTCCACAGCATTACTCTTTTAAGGCAAAAAAGTAGATACTCCATTTTTTCCCTGGATTAATCGCGCCATAACTGCCGCTGTCATTACTTCCTCCTCCGCCTCCTAATCGCTATCGTGGTAACAAAAAATGCTCGAAATATGACACTCAACTTATTTATTTAACGCCTAATTTGTGAGTTTATGTTTTCCTCCTCTTCACTTGTTGAAAAGATCTTCTGGAAATCACGCCATCGCCACGTCCTCGTATCGCTACCTCATTATCAATATCCATGCCTCCACACCAAATCATAGGTTGTGGCGACCTTTTCACCTTGTCAGTTTCACAATGACATCCCAGTTACATCGACTTTTTATTGCCACAATGTGAACTTACAAAAGAACCTGAAACAGTTGTTTTGTGGAGTAACAAGTACGCAACCATCCCGACAACTTCAAAGGGGCGCTGCAAATTCTACGGGTGCAAAGACTCCCCAAATCAAACTGAGTCCACAAAATTTAAAATAATAACTTTTTAGAGGTGAAAATTTCAGCTATGTCATCCACATGATCCATTAGCACTACATTAGCGTAGAACTTATGCCCGAGTTTAAACAGTACCTGGAAATCAGGTATTGAATGTAAAGATTTGCTAGTACCGTTGGAAGATTCTGGACCAATCCATCTTGCCTCGCTGTTGTTTGGAAGAGTTGAAAACGATGAAGACATGATGGCTTTTCCTTTCACTTAGAGGCTACACGAGTTCAGCGGTAGCGACAGATTTCATGGATGGACTAGGCACGTTGGGGGCGGCAGCAGAAAGTGGGTCGAGTTCGCTTTGCTTTCCATCCATCCTGACTTCTTCTGTTACGAGGGAAACCTTAGCGGGATGGGAGAAGTGGAGATGCTATGGATGGGGGGGGGGGGGGAGGAAGCGGTGACGACTTCCAACAGAAGACCTGAAAATGAAGTCGGAAGTGAGAACAAAGTGGCAAGGAGGAACAGACGCGAAATCCTACCGCCACGGAGCTATGCTGAACCAGATTCCACTTAAGCTATTCAAGTGCCATAAATGGGTTTCCGCGCACTTCCCTCCCTGTCAATATGTTTTGATAGCACTCGACTGTTTCAAACTATGTGGGACGTTGTTAGCGCCTCATTTAGACTTGACGTTGACGCATCATTGACCAACGGAAAGGAAAAAAATGCGATGTCTCCACGTCATACTTCTCTGTCCAATCGCGGCTACCTGCCATAGATGTGACGTACTTTTTAAGCATCTTGCACCATTTTACACAACCATCGTCATTTTATGCGTCCGTTGGCGTAGTCAGTTAAAATTAGAAGGACGGAGAGAGGGCGTCACATGTTACAGGTGCGCCTACACGGACATTTCATTCAGGATGGTAATAAAAGTTAAACCAATGGAATTCGTGAAACCTTTGACATATCGCTGCGGTGTATGAGGAACCCCATCAAATGCCTCCGAGAGCAGTTAAATGTGTTCTCCACCAGTCTGTAGCAGGTGGTTGCGCCAAATCATGTGTCACCACCAAACAGTGCGAGCTGGGAACAATGGGAGTCTCTAGTGAGAGGCAAATCACATTTTTACTAGGAGAAGGGGTTTGATTGGTCTACAAAAAATGGGTGAAACTGGGTGCTAAAATTAGACCAAAAAAGGGGCGAAAAAATGGTGGTTGATTTTCCCCTAAGACGAATGAAGTGTTGAGTTTTCAATGTCCAAATTACCTTTTAATGAGGAGAAAGCAGTCGAAGTAATGCTGAGCGTTGATTTTACTCCAGGCATAAACTTGCTTTGTCACGAATGACTATATTGAGACGTGCCGAGTTTTCCTCGAGGTTGTAATAACCTGTGTCAACATTGAAGAAGATGCCGTAGCGCCCCGAGACCTCCCTGAAGACGAAAGAAGACGCAATGCTCAAGCAAAACATCTTGTCGACATGAGGAGGAGATCGGGGCTACTGGCATGGCTCGGAGACCAGGCCGCTCGACGGAAGTACACTGATAGAGCACCTAAGTGGCTACTTTACCAAAACCGAGTTAAACAACAAACCTATTACACAACCCCTCTCCTCTTTTGAGCGTTGTCTTCGGTGCTTGTCAGCCAGCATAACGTAATCAGCGCTGTAAGCAAAAGCACCCACGAGCCGACCGCACCAATCATCGAATTCTCATGCAGCTGACAGCAGCGTAATTGATCCCTTTTGAAAATTTTACTAGATCTGCAGTTTCATTCGCCATGAAAACTGGAATCGGGGACAGGAAAACGTGCCGGCCATCACACATGTCCATCGCTAGTTGTAGGAACAATGGCCTAAAATCAGGGTCATAGAACAAACGACGGGGTTTAGCATGGTTTCTTGGGGATAAAGTTTTGCATTTATTCCTCTTTGCCACTTCAGTGTTGCTCAGCCGGGTTTCATTCAGCCAGGATAGATAAGAGGGGGTACCGCAAGGTTACATAACTGATGTCTCCATGCTGAAACGGTAGACAGCTCCGTAACGAACTAATCCAGGTGGTTCACGACCGCATCCAGTGCCGCTTCAGTTGCAAATAGCTTTCCCAAAGACCACGGAACTGGGCTAGGCGCCAAAGTAGACGACATTTTCAGACCTTCTGCTAGGAATCACCACACATCCCCCCATTCGCAGTACATGCACCTCGTCGTCCGCCCCACTAAGGCTTATCAAGCAGCAGGATATTTGTCCTTTACTATCGGGTCCGCTTTCCGCTGCCACCAATTCAGCACCCCGAGATTTCCCTGAAGACGAAAGAAAGTATAACACTCGGGCAGAATATGTATTGTCGGTGTACAAGTAGGGATTGGGGCTACTGGCACGGTCTGAAGGCTAGACCGTCCGGCGGAGGCACGATGTCGAACCTCCCTAGTAGCCCTTATGCCAAAACCGAGAATTAAACAATGCATTATTAAGGTACAGAGGGCCATGTCATAGGTCTTCCAGTCATTCTGCTGAAAGGGAGGTACAAACCACAAAGGCTGAAATAGATCGAGGATTTAAATGCCCACTAGCACAAATATCACATATCTGCAATCTCCAAGTAAACAATTCCCCACTAATTGATCAAAAGACGACAATCGTCAAAAAGTGAGAGCGGCAATCCGAATTTTTGAAAATCAAGCATGCATTTTTCCCCTGTTTTTCAAGTGAACAGTTCGCTATCACGGTCATGTTCACGAACAATCTTACGCCTTCTCACTTCCTTTGAATTAAACAATGTTTTGTAAGCCAACAAAGCTTCTCAGCACAGGTGTGCTCGTTCCAGACTTTTCGGAGGCCCTCGGTGTGTCGTGTTTCATACGACATGGCAGTGACTCATGCATGAGTCATGATGACCTCGTCTGAAGGCTTGATGTGCCATGCACGTCCCGGGTCCTGATTATTCGACAATGTGACCTCGTAGTGTCACAAACATAATCGCGTTGCTATTTTTCATGTCACAGTGATGTTTTGATGGTTGGTTGGTGCAGTAGTTCCTCTTTTATCTGATCTAATTAACTAAAAAATACGGACACGGCGCAGGAAATGCAATAATCACTAAATCCGCTGCAGTTCAGAATGCAGCATCTACAGTTTAAAAAAGAGTTGACTTACACGATTCCACTAGATTCTTGCGGACATTAGCAGGGAAAGTGAGTTCGAAGTCCTCACCTTGCCAAGATGTCAAAGGATCTGGACTTCAAAGAAGCCCTTTAAGGCGAGGAATAGACTCTTTCACGATCAAGCTGGCTGAGTATTCGCAAGGGCGACTGCTGTGGCGGTGGGCTAGGATCCAACCACGACCAAGGTCGCTATTGCACAATTCAACTGTTGCCGTCTCATTGTTGTATTGCAGTTGAAGTCTTCCACGCAGGTAAACGTCTCCGGGTTTGGGTCTGACGCCTTCATCTCGTTGCCGAGAAAAGTGTTTCAGCGCCACACACACAACTATCATCTCAGTCCGCCATCTTGACTAACGAAATCTGGTTTGACTCAGGCGTAAAATATGCTCCGATTGTTTCGAGACGCAGCTTTCTCCTAGCACTGTCACGGTAGGTACGGCCTCGCACTATCCTGGGTTAACTTCAACGACCCTCGTAGAGGGCATTCCATTTCCCTTCCCACGACCACTTGTTTGAGGTGTGGCGTGGAATTCATTCACTTATTTATTTTCGTTAAGTAATCGGATATTTCATCCAAAAAATATTCATTAAATTGAAAAGAGGTTCTGAGGGTGTTTTCGCCTTTCAAGGTAGTACTTTTGGGAAGGAGGAAACCGGTAAGGTGAGTGGGTCGTGCATAAATTCCCACTAGGCTAGTTTTGACTGATTCAGCGTACGTATACACAACCCTTTCTCAACAAAACATTCAAATTTCGAATAAATACCCTGGTTTTCGGGAGGTTACAACAAAAAGGATCCGCTGAAGTGGAATGAGTCAATTAAAGAGTTTCAACCTGTGACTAGCCATAGACTCTAGGGGATTTTGACTGTCATTTTGCTGTAGCCTAGACAGGACACAGTATAGTACACTTTCACAATCAACAACACAAAAGCGGGGCTTTTGTAGACACAAAAAAGGGATGCTGCCATGGCGACGGTACACAGGCAGTCCAACTTCTTACAATAACCGGGTCACATGTTGTGGACCCCTCCAATCAGGGCAGCAGTAATCGAGATGGCGGGACACAAATAATAGTGCGCACATAGAACAGGGTGTGGTGACGAGGATGTTTTATGAATGAAGGTGTAAGACCCGCGGAAATCTACAGGCCGCGGTGATAGTACACTCAATCGTTTAATAGTAAAACACGTGAATAGTGTTACCGTTTTAAGGACGTCCACACGTCACTGATGTCGTCAGGAGTGGTGGACCCGACCAACAGCCTCGACAATCATCCCTGTACACATTTGACCTGATCGATGCACAATCCGTCATTGTGAAATGACACGAGAGACGAATATTGCTATGGTATTGTTAAAACAACACAATCCTTCACAAAGGCCTCCGATTTCGATAACTAGCACTGTGTACTACGACAGTTTTGCGCCTTTGGCCAGCACAGAGGAGCTGGACGTAGCTGGACTGAAATGGAGGGGCGTCAAAAGCTTCTGGAAATTTGGGTGGAACGGTCAAACGAGGCGCCAAGAAATTCCACTGACTCCAGAAAGCTTGTGGCAAATTGAGAGAGGCCGGTCATCCAAACGACGATAATTAGTGTTGGCGTATCTTTGCTGAGCCCTAGAGGCTTGGCAATGGTCTGGAACGTGATACGCATAAAGAAACGATTCAGGGGTGTTGTGCACAGCTCTGTAGGTCAGAGTACAAAGCACACCGCGCCTCATCTCTGTGGACTAGCAAAACCGTTTTACAGAAAGGAAACCCAAGCACACGCAAAAATAATGACAAATTATAATGGCCGAACAAGAAAATGGAAAAGCGGGAAACCATGCATTATTTATTTTTTGAATTAGTCTGATTGGGGTGGATGAACAGGGGCACGACGACTGTAACATCAACAACAATATAATGGACACCAGAAGAACTAATACACGAAGGACACTGATGTAATAAAAGCCAATATAGTGAATGTCGGGTCATCTGAGTCACTAGGGCGAGCAGAATTGGGGGGAAGGTTAAGGTTAAACACCACCAAAGGAGTTCTCACCACTATAATGCGCGTAGAGAAACCCATCGTCACTCTTGCGTTCGTTGTAGAGTTGGCCCATGGTCCAGCTGCAAGGCAGGGTGAGATAAGGAAAATTAAAGTCTCGCTTTAGTTAACATCCAGTATTATAACCCCCGAACTCGACGGACAACTAAACCCCCTATAACGCAGTATCTTGCCGTAGATTTTAGAATAGACTATCTGAATGGTGCCTAGATTTTTTGAAATACAGTTTTATTCCCAGGGATGTCAACTAGTAGTTCACAATTACGCTTTGTTCATCTGAACTAAAATACCATTGTTCTCATTTTGCTTCCTTTCTAGTAAGACTTCAAGTATGCGGCACACAAATTCCATTGGCATTAACCAAGTGTAGTCCTCCTGATCTAAAAATATACCAGAGCTTACCCTTGTGTCACCAAATAAACGGACAATCATTAGTCACTTCTACAAACAATGCCCTCCTACTAAAGAACACATTTACTTGTCCAAAGTCGAGGTAGAAATGTTAAGGTCGTGAAAATGAGCCCGTGGATGGCTATCACAAACACCTTAGTTCAACCCGGCTATACGATAACAGGAACGCACAAGAGATGTTCCCAGCATTCATGCAAACAAAAAATGATTTCATGAAATTGGTGCCAAAGCAACTTCTTTTGAAATCTACAGAGAGGGGTACAGGAAACCCTTGAAGTTGATAATAATAGCACAGTACTTATTATTGAATAGAGTCGACACCAAGTTTTATTAAAATAAATATTTTCCTATTAGTTTTGTTACTGAGTGCCTCACTGGACAGGTCCAAATACGCATAATTCTTCCAGCGCTCCTTAAGAATACCGATCATTCAACTGAAATACTTCCGCATTAACACAGACCATGATAACTACTTTATTCGACAGCCCATTCGTTAAAAATCCAATCTGACGGATGTCAGAAGTGTTGCCAACATGCAAGCGACTCTATCGCCCTATGTGGGAGCAATACAGCATTTGAAATGAGCAAACAAGTTTAACAGAGAAGCCAAGCCATTAGCTAAACGTGTAACTCGCTGCACAACGGAAACGAGCGAAGGAGAGAATGTGATAAAAATAGTCCCAATCTATCCTACCGCATCACCGGCCGAAGTACAAACCGCTTTGAACAAGTTCCAGTTTCAGGAGAATGGCGTCTACTTCGACCTATGCCCACCTTAACTATAAGGAAAAAACATAAGACAAAAGATACAGTGAAGCCACTACCTCACGAGACGGGAGATCAGAGGACACAACGCACATACAAGAATTCCAACCTCAACCAGCCCCTGTACGAACGCAAAGCACCAACTCGATGTAGAGCATAAGATGCACTCAAGTAATAAAAAAGAGATGTCACAAGAGGCCGAAGTAGCGAACTAGCGGTAAGCTAAAGTTTGAATCCACCTCCAAACCACTGAACCTCAATAAACTAATGTGTAAACTTCTGAACGGGATCAATGCGCAAAGTCCGTACTTCAGCACATGAACACCCATACCTGATGACTCAGTGGTAAGGGTGTGACAAGCTCATAAATCGATCAGCTGTTTGGCTACCACGTGACATCCGAAAGCAAAGGATAAAGTGGCTTTACTCACGCAAAACTTAATTCCGAGTTTTAATAATAAAAACACCGAATTCTTGCACCACCACATCCATGGATATACAGCCGGGTCACGTGACGACCCTCAAGTAGAAACTACCCGGAGTACAAATCAAAAAGTGTGCCGTGATTTCCAAAGGAAAACAAAATACTACGCAAAAAAGAACTACCTTGTTTGTGGGACGTAGTCATCAAAGAAGAGGAACAGCGCTTTTTCTGGAGAGAGCTGAAGTCTTTTCCGAATAATCCACATAAACTGAGCAACAGTTATGTCGTTGGGCACAAGAAACTTGTGCTTGTCCAGATCGCTTATTTGAGAACCAGGATGACGCTCGACTATTACCTATTGAAGTACGGAGAGAGAACAAAAGTGACATGTCACATGACTAGGGGTTCCTCGTGGCAGAGAAAATACTCATTATAGTGTCAAGTGACTTACAAATAAGGTGGAGCCCACATCCGTGGTTAAAACCAACGCCACAATAGCAAATAAGTACACAGAATTAACCACAGAAAACAGATAACAGAAGAACGAGCACTCACAGGAATTCGATCTGGGTACTTTCGCTTAATCTTGGTAGCATCACTAAGGCGTTCATCTAAAAATAATAAAACGAAGAAGAAAACTTTACGAACCAAATGATCTCGACTCCTTAAAATTAAACTTCATTCCGAAACAGAACGACGGCGGGCTTCGAAGTAGTCGGGGAGGAGGAACGCTAATACAAACAAAGCCGTAAACCTGACTCAGCAAAGATTTTTCTCAGTCAGTTTTAAACAAGCTCATACAAAAAAGTAAAATTTTTTAGTTAAATTATAGAAAAATTTCCAGTTCATGGCATTGTTTGCCACGAATTATAAAATGATTAAAATGTTTTGATGTTGTTGTCGCGTTAATGCACCACTTTCTTAATAAGCAGTTGCAAATACGCATTGTAAGCTAACTTTTCAAAAATTTCTAAGATCGGCGCAAACAGCGCATATCGCACTAAATTTTAGATTTGGTCTTGGCTTTGTTTTTAAAATGGTTGCATTTACTAATTGCAGACAGAAAATTCACTAATGATTAACTGGTTTGACAACCAGAATCGTATTTATACTCTTTATGTGTAAATTACTGAAGCCTTTCACCTGCGAATAATCTTTATGGGCTCCAATCTTCCTTGCCTCATGTTCTGACCGTCGTCTCAAGCTTTCTTCAGTTCTTCATCCTAATATGACAATACAACTTCAGATAGTTCTTGGGCTACTGCACACATCCTATAGGTAACAAGTCCAAATATACATTCGGGTTGTTAAATAAAAATTATAAAATATCTCTCCACCGCAAAACAAAATCTATTGTGCCAACTTAACGATGTGACTTATTTAATGGCGGTCCTAATCTGTTTCATCTAGCTGTTGAGTCCTTCATGCCGATTTTTGATTGTTCCCATGACACTTCTGACACAGTACTTTCATTACACCGCCACTGCTTTTCGCACTTACTTGACCCACCCTTTGCTCTTTGACCCCTGTGTACTGTGACTAATTGAAGGCTTTATGCTGTTGCACAACGAAAGAAACAAGTAATTCTTACACCCTTTACCAGGTAGATGGATATCTGTCATGAATTTGCCTTTTATCGCTTAACTGCCAACTCAAATTTGTCCACTATTGTCGAGTAGCAAGAAAGGCGACAATCATTGAGAGAGGGAAGGGAAGGAGGATGAAGCAGGCACTCCCTCCCCAGAGTCCTGTAAAACCATCAATGGTAAAAAGACTATCCTCATTTATTTGGCTGACTTTTACCAAGGATGCGCCATGGAAGTGTTAAAAAGGTGTCTGCTTGCGGCCAATCCGCAATTCCTAGCTCTTCACTTTGACAGCTGGGGTTACCTTGAAGAAGGCAGCTCCTTTTTGCAAACTGGGGTTGAATTGCAAAACAGGATAGCCCTGAAGCATTGTTCCGCCTTGAGCAATACGAAACCAGTAGACTCCCATCTCCAACCCAGTTAACGAAGAGGGCAAAGTGCCGGGCACAATGGAATCAACGAGTTCCATTAAGCATCTCCTCACCTCTATGAAATTTTAGTGACTACCATTTCTGGCCCGTGAGCGATTTTTCAAGCACCAGCCACGTTGTGATGATCACAGGAGAAGATCTGCCTTTAGGCCACCTTCCCAATCGTCTATCCTTCCCCCACGCTAGCAGTAAACCTTCTCCCCTACTGGTATAGCTCGGAACAACTGCTGACAAAAAAGGTAATGCTTCTATTATATACGAAAAGGTTATTTCAAGATCAAAGTTGCATTGAGTGGTGCCACAATTCTTCCTATTTAGCATCTTCGTCATTACGCTCAGCGAGAGAGTCCAAGATGGAAAATACGTCTGAGCCAGGCCGGACCTCCCCAAATACCCCTGAAGAATAGAAAACACTGCTTAGTAGATAAGTTTAAGTAAAAAAGTGCATAAAAGGGCCATAAGTTTTCTGATCATGCTGCCGTGGCGGTACTACATGCAACCTTAAGCGGTAAGGGGGCTCTACGAGTACTACTGATGGCCGGCGGACATATCATGAGCTAGTCCGGTGGGTGCATGCATAGAACAAGATTTAGTGATGAATGAAGTTGCTCATGAGCGATGGTGTAGAACCCGAGTGCAGTTGTCCTCCAGCACAGCACAGAATGACAATAAGATGCCCAGCTCTTCCTTCTGAAGGCAATCGAACGGTTCCAATGTTTTAAAAAAGCCAAAACGTCCGTTCATCACAGACGTCAGGAGACCAAATGACAGAAAAGACGAATCTTTCTTTAAAAAAAATAGCGAACACAATGCCATCACTGACGAAGAATTGCAATTCTAGAACGTTCATGTACGCTGTCCATCTTAAAAGAATATCTTGGAGGCATTCTTTTAAGCAATACAACAAGTTAGGCAAGCTCTCCTAGGACACTTTAATATCATCCAACCAATTGTTGTACTTTAAGACTGTCCAGGTGCCAGATGGAGGTCAGAATGAGACCTATCTGAGTGTGGTAGGACACCGTGTGGAGAAATAGGT